TGCAGCTCACCCAGCACCGCCTTGCACTCACCCCAGGTCCAGGCCTGCTCCTCAGCAAGCTGCTGTGCTGCACTCCCTTCCTTGGTTTTCCCCAGGGCACCAGTAAGCCCCTTCGGCTGCCCACCGGCCTCATCTCTCACATCTGTGCCCTGCGATGGCTCTGAACGCTGCGCCCGCAGCTGCTCCAGCTCATGTTTGAGGGCATTGTAGAGGCTGGCAGGCACAAAGTCCCCCGGGGTGGACACGTTGCTCTCATCCCGCTCGTAGTTCTCCAGCACCTGCCAAGGGAGTGGTGAGGCCAACGGGGGCCAGGGGATGGACATAGGGAGGGACAGACAGACAGACAGGGACTTGCCTGTATTTTCTCCCTCAGCTCCTTGTTCTGCATGGTGAGGGACTGCACCTGCCCCTGCAGCGTGGCCAGCAGCTCCTCAGCCGAGGGGCTCAGCGTCTTCTTGGAGAGCAGCAGCTCTGCCCCTGCAGGGTGCATGGACTCCAGTGCCATCCCTGCCCATACCCCTGCTCCCCACCATGGAGTGCCTCCTCCCTGAGGGCTGTCCAGCCCCACACGGGCCTTGGGAGGAGGTCAGAGCCCTACCTGGGAACTCAAGCGGGTCCCCCTCCTCATCCTGCAGGGTCTCAATGTCGTAGCTCGTGTTCTCCTTCTCGTTCTGGGGGTGCAGAGTGGTGATCAGACCCTGTGCAACCCAGGCCCTGAAACTGCCAGCTGTTACCTACACCTACCTCCAGTGAGGACAAGCGGCTCCGCAGAGCCTCCACCTCCTTGCCCAGCTGCTCCTTCTCACCATCCCGCACCACCAGCTGCTGCTCCAGCTCCTGGATCTGTGGGGCAGGACATGGGCATGGGGTCCCTTTCACTCCCACCAGAGTCTGATGGCATCCCCAGCAGCAGGACTCCTCAAAGTGCCAAGGCCACCCATGACCTCTTCGCCAGCCTCACCTGCTTCTCCATGGAGCGCAGGGAGCCCTCGTCCAGCTCTGCCCGCTAGCAGGACACAGAGAGAAAACAGGGAGGGATAAATGCTGTCTCCATCCCTCCCATCCCCTCTGCTCCCAGAGACACGGTGGCATCTCCCCTATGACCCTATGGGCCGCAGGTACCTCCCGTCTCTGCTTCTCCTGTTGCTCCAAGCCCCGGATCTTCTGCAAGAACTGGGCCCGCTCCTGCCGCAGTCGTACGATCTCCTCATAGGCGTCTCGGTCCTCCTGCAGAGGAGTTAGATGAGTGGACAGGACAGTGCTGGGCACTGCCAGCCCCCTCCCCACTGCCAGCCCCCTCCTGCCCATCCTCATGGAAGACTGTGGCAGGGGGGGGGCTCAGCGCCGCCGGGGGGGGGGTGCCCGCTCAGTGGTGGCTCTCCAGGTGGTTCGTGGTTTGGCCAGGTGCAGACGTGGAGCTAACAGGACCCCTCTCTCACCTGGTTGGAGGCGCCCATGGGGGGCAGAGGGGCTTTCCTCTTCCTCGGGGTGCTGTTTTTCTCCCTGACGGATGACTGGCTGGGCGAAGATGTCTGCGGAGACACCAGAGCGTGTCTAAAGTGGGCTCCCTCCTTCCTGACCCATCATCATCTTGGAGAGCCCCTGGGCTCCTGGGAACCCCCACCCAGGGGCTGGAGCCAGTCCTGCTGAGAGGTGGGCAGCCAGGCAGGCCCTTACCTGGGATGTCTGCTCAGTTGACTCCTCTTCTGGGGGCAGAGTGGGAGGAAAGAGAAATTGGGAAGGTTTAGGGGATTTTAGGGGTGAGCACAGCAGGCAGAGCCCACATGGGTGCAGGGGCATCTCTGAATGTGCTCACACAGGAGTGGGCACAGGGAGGCACACTCAGATAAATATGGGGAAATGGGTGGCTGTGTAAATGCAGGGTTGCACACATGTG